ACCTACAAGAAAACAATTCCAATAAAAAAAATTATGAAAAGAGGGGAGGAAAAAGGAAGATACTGAGTTCTATTTATTTGAAAAAGGTGGATGTGGCTCTTTCTGGATGTATCATGTGAACTCTTAAATGAAAAGGGAAAATATTCTGATTGTAAAGGTGTTATATGTAGAGAATGGCACTTAGCTCCTTGAAACCACATGTTCCATAGACGCCAAGTAACCATATTCCTTTTTTTTTTTTTTTTTTTATGGGCCAATAATTTTAGCTCTCAAATTCCACATGAAAAACTGAAAATCCAGGATTTGAGAACTAGAGAAGTTCAGAATAGTATTCATCTGGAAGTCTCCTCTTTTCATGTTGGTAAAGTATAATGTTACTTCACGCCATTTGGCTGCAAATGTAAATTACACCTTTTTTCAGTTGTTAGGACAGGGTAGAAAACCACATAATTCTAATGAGTCATAAATGTTTCACCATTTTTTTTTCTTCATTTAATTCATATGGTGCCAACACCTGTGAAAACAATCAGCATCATAGCTGTGTGCTCTACTTAAATTTGCTTTAGGGTATGCTTGAGTAAAAGCTTTTATATCTCATTTCTCTACATTATTAACAACATGATGCCCTGAATCATTCTATAATTTAAGTATGCTCATTTTGTTCTCAGCTATTTTATTAGGACTAGAAAAGATGCTCAAAGACTATGACAGTCTTAAAGCAGACACATATACACCCCCTTGCTTGATTCTTACTGTAACAAAATATCTATAACAAGATCTTCACATTATTTTTTATGTGCTTTGGCAGTTTTGCACCTTGAATTACAAATCTAAGCTGTTAGTACAAGGGCTATACTACAAAGCTGTCTCCCAAAYGGCTTTGCAGCCATTGCTCTTAGGTAAGTTCATTTCATGAGAGCGGCATCTGCACAGAACTAAACTTTAAGTTATTGCAAAGGGAAAACACATCCTGTTCTACAATGGGAACAGAGTAGTGGTTGGAAACCCACCTCTAGAATCACTAGATGGTGCCAGAGAGGAATGTACATTTTGGTAACACTCTGGTGCTTTTTAGCTTTATTTGGGCAGTGGTGTGGTTATGTTAATCTGCAGTAGAAGTGCACCAGCTCGAGGGTGGGATTTCTAAGAATATAAAGTGTGAGATTTCTGAACACATTTCACTGTCTAAAGAAACACTGTAGTGATGGGAGGGAAGRGAAAGAGTATAAATCCTGTGGACTTCTTGTGGATGTCAGGCTCTGCTTAGTAATCCTTGGTAACATCCCTTGACATCCATACAGCTATATGTGATTTCAAAGCACACAAATCCCTAATGGAACTTGTGATACTGAACAATTGCAAAGAGTTTTTCTCTACAGTTTTATAACAAACCTAAGGGAAGGTGATACGCTGGGCTCTCCCTACATTTCAATGAGATTGCAAACTCCTCTATAAAATTCCTAGTCTAAAACTGTACAGCTTAATAAACACAGATGAGCGGGCAGTGTGTTAAGCTGGAAGGTGTGGAAACCAAGACTATTCCCAAGGAGATTTTTCCCCAGAATGTGCCCCAAAAGTACATTTCAGTGTTCAACAGCATATTAGAAGCCACTGTGCCAATTTGTGATCAAGAAGTAGACCAAAGCTCAGCTGATAAACGCTCCAGGCAAACTATGCAATTCTGATTCACTGCAATGACTTCCATTTGTGTCCAGAGACAGACACAAACTCCAAGTAGCTTAAACTACCTAACTCAAACATGGAGATCAGGACAGGCTTCAGCAGGAACTTGGGTGGTGAGGACTCTGAGGCTGAGGTTCAGATTTTTCACAGCTGCAGAAGTCAAGCTAATTAAAGACTGTGAACTGCAATCATCTCCCTGCGCTGAAGCACAGTCCTGCCTGCACACATGAGGACAAAATGGGGGCTGAACTGGCTGCTCCCTTCCACATCTGGGGAGCTCCATCACTGACTTTGAAGTGACTGAAAATAAATGCTCTGATAGTCATTTCATATGGAGTCACTGCAGTAGACTTTACATTTTCATATGGCTTGTCACGTTTAAGAAGAGAGGGCGGGGAAAAAAAGAGCGAGGTCAACTCTCAGTTTCTTAATGATAAGCAATAAGAACTTGAGCCACCAATAGCATACACCGTCCTTACTGCCAGTTTAAACAAGACAGGTCTAGAGGAAAAACCTTCCTTTTTATTTTGCTCTTTGGGCTTTTTCTTAAGAGTTCTTCCACACAGATGCGGGACTTTGGCTGAAAGGAGGAAAAAGTGTGGAAATCAATCCTGCCCACAGAACATGGCCATTTCCAGACAAATAAACAGGTGCATGTATGGAGCAGTCACTTATGTCAGCCTGCAACTGATTCAGTACCATTTAGTGCTAGACTAGCACACAAAAACGTGACTAGGTGACACAACCTCTAGATGGTTGCATCTCTACCAATATACYCCACTTGCCCAGACCAAAGAATGACCCTTTCTTCCAATTTCAGCTACTTCTAACTTTGCTTCCTCCTGGTCTATCAAAATTCACCCTGAAAACCTAAAATTCAGACAGAAATCACATTCATTACTATAGGAAAGAGGCTGTCCTCGAGTCAGAAGGCAACTCAGCATAGCAGGACATTTTTAGGCTGTTTAATTCTCAATAGTTTGTTCAGCTGAAGGTCTATTGGGTTTGAGTTGCTACTACAATGTTTAAAAAGTATGAAAGAAATATTTAAAAGTCTCACTAAAATCCTTTGCTATATTCCTGCAGAAACCCAGATCAATACAATACRGACCAAAGGCAGCATTTTCTATGGTATCAAATATGCATTCTTAACTTTGAAGCAGGACAAGAGGGAACATATACACTGCCTGTAATTTAATGGATTAAAGTGCAAAAGTGCTCTGAAGCTAGAAGATGCTGAAGCAAAGAAGAGAAGAGGATGAGCTTTACACCTTTCTCACCACCATCTCTATTATTGAACTGGCTGACTAAAAATCAAATTTTTGCTTATGGGAAAAAAATCATTTTCCTGACTGTAAGCTGCAAATCCTTCTTACTTTCTRTTCTTCTACTGTGAAGGCAGCTTCTGTGCTAGGAACTCGAGGAGGACAGTCCTGAAATGTTATTAATGAGGACTTACTGTACACTTCATACTTGATGTAGGTGCACTCTGCCTCCTAATGGAAGTCGCATGTGTTTTTCCCCCAAGTATGCGCTGGTAAGTAATGACCCATCATCAGGCAGTGACTGATGACAATTGATCATATGGCCATCTACAGCAGCAAGAAATTAGAGTAATCTCTCAAGAGAATAATCAGAGAACAATTTTCCAGGGTCACTACTAGCAAAGGAGCTTGCTGAAGATGAAAATGGACTCAGGCTTCACCCTGGATTTTCTTCTCTCTCCTGGATTTCATTTTATACACAAGGGTTACATTTGCTTTTAAGGAAATTTTGAGGCAGACAAATTCTAAGGAGATGGAAGAGAGTCTTTCACCTGCAAGCCTTCGGTTCAAACCAGCTTGGGTTAGCATTGAACTCAAGTATTTACCATTGCTGCTCCGTGTCTGTGTAAAATGGATTGGTGGTTCTGGCGCAGTTCCTAGCTATAAATATGCATGCCATGACTGGCAACTCCAGTGCCATGCTCAGCAAACAGAGCCAAGAGGTAAATGAAGCATGGGAAGCAGGGCTACCTCTGCCCCACTACGGGCCAGGGTGGAGATGCTTTGGCAGGAGATGCCGTCAACGCTGCTGCCTGAGCAGGGCTGCGCTGGGGACGAGCACAAAGACATCAGTATGAAGGGATCTCAAACCTGCATCTTTCTTTTTTTTCCCAGGAAGTGAATTTATTAATTTTCTAAAAATATTTCACATGCTGTTCAGTTCRGGGTGGATTAGTCCCTCAAACTGGGCCACATTCTTCCTTATCCTAAAGTGAAAATTAACCTGCCATTGTAATGAGACTGAAACCTGATGTAAACGTAATGTATTCCCATCACATAAGGCTTCCTTGTCCTGCCRGGGGCATGGCCCTAGGGCAGAAAAAAAAATCAGGGTTTTTTTTGTTTCCAGCAACCACATGACAGATCTTTTCTCAGAGTAGGAGACTGAGACTCACTGACATCAGAAGCCATTGGACCAAGCAGCTTSTTTTTCCTTATACCATAAACTTAGAGTAATTCCACTGAAATAAACGGAGTCAACTGTCCACAAAGAGCAGTATAAATGGGACCAGAATGTGCTTCCTTCTTTATATGACTGATACTGGAGAAAAGAGTAGCTGGTATTGTTAATGCAAAAAATAAAAAACATAATGAACTGCCATTCCGGCAATATCATCAGCATAAACAGGATGGCCACCAAGAATCCTTGTTTGATTCTATATGTGATTACAGTGAGAAAGGAATGTAACCTGGGCCTTCAGCCTTCAAGCGATTTCACCACTGAACTGTGCTGAATGGAAAATGCATGAAATTTATTCTAAAAATAACATGATGGGTCAAGAAAATAATGATCTTAGCCTGCGCAGCTAGGTGAATTTATGGTGATGCTGTCTTTTATATTTCATAGGATATTCACTGTGGACCCTAAAATTTCCATGGGTCTCAACACTTTATTTATCCATATTTTATTACTACTGTAAAYATAATTATCACAGCATCTTCACGCTGGAAAGTGATAGATAGATTTTGTTACCTGCTTGTCAAGATGCTCATGTTCACTGTATTCAGCCATCACAGCAACCCAGAGACTGATGACTGTGCTAGCCTATTAATATAAGTCTATTACAGTACATCGATGCTACTCCTCTCAAACAATATTAATGCAAGCCCTGCGGCAGGAGACATATTTTTAACTTGCAACAACACAATGAGGCCTATTTCATTACAATGATTAACCCGTCTATGTTTTACTCAGTTTGCCCATCCTTAGCCACAAAATCTTCTCACTTGTTATTTTCCATTGCTTTCAAAGGACAGTGTTCACCCAGGACAAGATTTCAAAATAGATGGTGATTTTTAAGTAACTGCAGTCCAAGCTGACGAAATTGAGACGATGCAATGTGCAGGTGATTTTAGGACAACCTGAGTAATTAGTTACCTTTGGAAAAATAAAAGGATCTGAAGTTGATCACTTAGAAATGGTCTTAGACTAGTCATTGAGTTTTAAAATCTTACTAGCTAGTGCTTATTTGACATCTGGTGAAGTAGAAAAAAAATCTCCAAATAGAAGATTAAAAAGCAAAATCAAAAAATACCTTGAAAATGCTTGAAGTCCCAAATGCAGGTGGAAGTGTTCTTCCTGGTCATCAAGTAGCAAAGGGTATTCTCCTATAGATATTCTTTTAGGAGGAGCTCTTCCTCCTTCTGTCTTGGGAGTTTTGACCTGGTGCGAAGATGCTCAAACCAAAATTTGCTGATCCTACTAAAGAAACCAGATTATTAACACCAGAGATACATGCAAAAGATATTTTGGAGTTAAGAAAAAGAAAGCCTGCAAATGAGACCAACTAGCAAGTGGATGAAAAATCCTAATGTTTTAATAACAACAAACCTATCTTCTACGTAGAACTAAAATTAGCATATAAGAATAGAACTTCCACAGTGACTTACTTAAATACCATATTTTTTTAAAGCCAATCCCAGAAATTGCTAAACTTTCTGACTCTGCCCAGTAGGATGCTTATGATATGCTTAATTTAAAGCACAGGAGACAAAACTTGTAACTCTCTTTGATGGAGACACTAATATTGCAGCAATTAACCATGTGTTTAATTGTTTCACTATGCGTCAATAGCCAGATAAAAATCTGCAAGGTAACTCTCATCATTTTTTTTTTTTTTTCATTTGCAACATGCTTCCCAGAAAAACTAGGTTCAGCAGTCACAACTTGAGTTATCATCATAGGTTCTCAACTAGCATAAATCACTGGAGCTTCACTGACTTTGAATGCTCAGCCCACTGAAAATACAGCCTCAGGACCTCAAACAGCGATGTTAGTCCTAACAGCTTTTGAAGGCTGAAGGCTTGGAGCTCCATCGGACAGGCTCTGCTGGATTCAGTGGTAATAGTGAAAGAGGTTACCTCTCTCAGCTGTCTGCTGTGGTCCTTCACCAGAAGCTGAAACRGAGCCATCAAAAGGCAACATGGTCCAGCCCTCATCCATACAGCTCACATTAAATTTAACTGCCTATGATCTGCAGACTATGACAGGGGATAAACTGGCACTTGCTTGCATCTGCTGCCTCTGCTAGTAGGGTGGAAGCCCCTGGCAATGTGGCAGAGGAGGCATCAAGGGTGGAAATGTCTTCTTCCACCCCCCAAAAATTGATAGCACTTCTCTGCCAGGGCCCTAATCTGCTTAGAATGGAAGTGCATATTGAAAGAAGTAACTACTACTAACTTCTTTTGGAGGTGCATTAAGAGGAAGGATTTTCTACATTTCACGAGGCAGTGAATGGGAAAGAAGTAGTGTATACACAGTATGCTGGGTAATTTTAATTCACATTGCCCCTTCTCAGTGAATAAATCTTATTAAGCCTTATCCTCTCAGAGACCATCTGGATGAAAACCATTCAGGAAACGTCACCATTGGTACAAGAACTTAAATCTCACCATAAATCTYGTTGTGTCAAAGCCAGGCATGCATGCTTTAAAGAAACTCTGCAGCTGCGACTTGCTCAGAGCTGCAGACATGTATGTGCAAATGGTGCCTCCCAAGAAACAGATTGCTACATTTCAGTAACTCTCAAAAAACAAATGAAAGCAAAATCAGGGATTTTCTCATTTTCAAATAGCTCTGACCTTTTCTTCATATAAAGGAAACAAAATACTTTAATAAAACCCACATAAAATTTACTAGCCAATTGGAGCTGTACAGTCTCAAATGATCTCCACCCTTGTCCTTATCTCTGATTACTTCTCCCTCTCTTCCAAAGTATGTGTGCTAATGGGGCAAGCTATGCTCAAAATAGGAAATCATGATTACTTTGCTCTGTAATCTGATTGCCTGTATAGTTAGACACCTGCCTTCCTGGCAGATTTCTTTATGGTAACAGGGTATGAGCAGGTTGGCCTTTTAAATGCCAGACACCGTCAAAACAGCTTTGATCTAAGCACAGCGAGAATGGCACTCTTACCCAWCAGCAGAAATCCTCTCCTCCCAACCCCAAACCTGATATAATTGTTTTTGCAGAAAAGGATTTCATATTTAATTCACCAATTTCAAAACATGGCACAACACAATACAAGACTTGTCAGTCAATCCACTCAGTAAGTAAAGAAAAAGGAGAGCTAATCCTCAAGGTTTTGACCAAAACTTTTGGATGATAAATGAAGATTTGGTGAAACAAACATGTTTTGCAAATTTGTTTCATCCCAAAGAATTCCAAGAAATGTCACGAAGGCTGTTTGCAAATATATTTCAAGTGTAAAAATAAAATCTCTTAAAAATAAGTGAATCCCAAACAAAATACTTCATTTTCATGAAAGCAAGATATTTCATTTGATCCAAACTGTTTTTCTGAATTCTGAAAATCTTCGATCACCCAGCAACTGGCACAAYAAAAGTCACTGGAATAGACTGATTATTTGAACTATCAAATTTAGAAAACCAAGATTCAATGCTGAAATATTTGAGATATATCAACATATATACACAGCTGATAAGTATATCTTTCTGCAAAGGTTTATTTTTGCAAGAAATTTCAGTTCCATGAAAGTGGTAGTCACCAATGCAAAGCATCTTAGCCGCCATCACAACAGCAAAGATGATACCAGTTTGCTAATATCAATTCTTGTTTGACCTGTTACAGAAGAAAATGATTACTTTCCCGAAGCAGTATTAAGCGCTATCCAGATCAGCAAAGAGATGGTGGTGGCTGCCTGGTGACTCCCTGTGATTGCAAAGCAATCCATTCTTTTCCCACAAGTGGAGAAATACTTGCTACTAAGAATAACCAACCTCCCATCGGAGGAGCAGAACCATTGAGGGCTTAGGAAATGGGTTTCAGCATATGGCTCTCTGAGAACTGCAAAATTAATTACTTACATTCCTTGTAAAGGAAACATTTGTCAGCTCAGCATTTAGGGCGACCAGCAGTGTTCTGTTATGCAAGGTGTGTTGTTCTTTTCAAACTCTCATCCTGCCCTAAGCCCTATCTCCTCCCACATGACTTTCTGTACCAATCTGGAAAGCCAAATTAAAGAAGGGCCCTGTTTTAGTCCTCCTGCACAGTCAATGAACGGAGACACGTGGACTAAAAAGCTCTCTTGAGGGGTTGCATCACTCCAACATCTACAAGGGTAATTGGGTAGAAGAGGTGCTCCAGTTGCCTGCCTCAAGTTAATTGGCTCAAACCCAGGAAAACTGCCTCTGCTATTCAAAACCAGTGCATACCAGCGCATGTTGTGTGTTGAAAATGACAAATACCAACAGTTTTGGTGGATGTTATAACAGTATGAAAGTCAGMGCTTTGGATCTAAACATGGGATTATATTGTTATTACACAAACCCAAGCAGTTTTGTATCTCCTTTACCTTCTTAAGCTATGCAGTGCTGCATAACTGGATAGACTGACTTTCACTGGTCATGGATGCTTCACCTGGGTCTTGACCACTACCAGAAAAAGACAGCAAATCTGCAGAGCCAGCCTGCTGCACTGATAAAGTAAATCAGCTGTTCTTATGAAAAGTAATGCATAYGGTCTTTTCTTTTCAATGCACAGAACAAGGAAAGGATGACTCAAGCTGAGTTTTGCAGGTGAAGTTCAGATGAGTTCAGATCTAYTCAAGCCCTTGCAACATGGCCATATGCTTGACTCAAGTCCAAGAACTTAATTGTCAGCTCCAAACAAAAACTCCCAATGAAGAAGCTGAGGAGGGGATTGTGAACTCTGCTTTCCAGCACGAAGGACTTCAGAGCCTCTTTTTTTTCTTTTTATTCTTTTTTTATAATCTGTCATTTGTACTTTTTCATACTAAAGGTGACAGTCTAATTCACATATGACCAACACCCATAAATCATGTTGGGGGGAGGAAATATTCATAAATCCATATCAAACAGCACCCAAATTATGACAAATGACATGGCAGTCATAAAATTGCACAAGCACAACTCACCAAGTCATTAATTTCATGGCCGTGGAAAATAAACAGACACATTTTTTTCGCAGGCCTAATAAATTTTAAAAAACTCAAAGAATGGTCCATCTGCTTCGAATAATTTTTAATTTCCTATTCTGTCTCGTTCCCATTAGCTATTCCACTGAGATATTTGCTAAATTCTTTCATTTGCCTCCTCCCATCTGTATTCAATTACTCTATTCCCAAATAGAGTTAGTTTTTCTTTCTCCTAAGCGCAGTACCAAATATCCCCACCTGTACCTTAAAGCAAATGTTATGTGTGTTTTATTATCTGTTAGACTCTATGAGTCATTCTAACTCGATTGCCTGTGCTGAAAGACTTGGAGGGCAATCTGATTTTGATGTTTTCTGGCTTTGGTGAAAAACACCTGCCTGATTCTCATAGCTAATCTATTAACTTGGTAAATGCCTCAACAGATGTTCTAGAATCAGCTAGGGATCAGGGTCTGTCCTCGTGACAGCGTCCGCTTGTAAGCTTGAAATATTTAAATGTTCAGAGATCAGAGGCCAATGATGTGTTTTGGGTACAAGCTTTCACTAAATCATATTTTTTCAGTCAATCCCTGGAGTGCAATCCACATACAATAAGTGGCTGGAGCATTCTGACTGAACGGGCCAACCATACGGGCCTCCTTGAACTTTGAAGGGACATGAATTTCAAGGCAGGATTGGCTTCTTTTATTGAAAAGTGAAACAAATTTTAGACCGTGCTGGAGTCATTCAATTTTAAGCTGCACCTATTTTTTTCAGTTCCTTTCCTTTTGTCCTAATGAAAGCCATTAAGAAAGTATAAACCTTGGCTTTGAGGTTTGCTTTTCCAAGGATAACTTAATGTCTCTGAGGAACCTGTTCTAAGCCATCATCCTCTGTTTGGGTCAACACGGCTCTGAGTGATTCACTTACTGTGCCTGATTCCCTGCTTGGTTATATTGGTTTTAAGCCAGGGTTACTCCACTGACTGTAAGCTATTCCATTTTTATAATAGGCCTCTAGGCTCCACAGACTGGCTGGGATCACCACAGCACAGCATTCCCTTGGGAAGGTTTTATTTCTCCCTGAGGAAGGGTGGGAGAGATGCATGACATCAGTGTGATCATGCCCAGGAATTCTCATTTTGCAGGTTAAGGCAGTTAGTACTACACTAAGGCAAAACAAATGAGAAAAAGACAGGCTCAGAATGAGGAAAGCTCTACAACCACTGTTGTTCCACCTGCTTTCAGAGTAGCCTTACATCAGTCAAGCAAGAACTGAGGGGTAAAAAATTATTTATCACCTTAGAGGACTTTTATGTCATCTTGAAGCTTGTRAGAGATGCTCAGGCTTGTAACAAAATACTCCAAACAGATTAATTTCAAATGGCTGTGAGTTTCACTGCAAAAACTCTCCAGGACTGTATGAAGGGCGGAATCGGTGATCAGCACATCTTTTTTGGACCTTCGTTCCCTGCTCAACTCTGGTCATTTCACCGTTTGTTTACCTCCACTTCTTCAAGTGCTAAATGGGCTTTATTAATATAAACTTACTTTAGTGTTTTGAAGCTTAATTAGTTAATGTTTTCAGAGTGTTTAGAGATCAATACTGCATTATTACTAATGTATTCAAAATCTCATCTCTGCTGCTATTTGCTCTTGGACGCTTGACAAGAATGCTTTCACTGCTCCACGTCCTACTCCTCAGAAGCAGCTCTGATGTTAGAGCTCTCGTATGAGTGATCAGCAGATGGAGTTGGATGAGTAAGAAGGGAAATGCCTSATTCATATGGCTATTGCTGTTACACATGCTGCTTTATAAAAGACAAAACAAAACATGTGAAAGGAGTGTTGATAACAAATACTTAAGCAGTTAAAGGAAGACATTGAAAGCAGAGAGAACTGCGTATGTGTTACTGAAATTATTGCTATTTTCCAAAAAGAGCAGAATAACGGAGTCTCAGAGAAAAATGGGTCACTGAAAATGGAGGCCCCATCTGAGGACCTGTGGATCTGAGGACCTTCACTGGATAGGCAAAGAAGAGAAAGAGATTTTCTATCTGTAAGCAAATGCTAAAATATTGACCAYAGCTCATCTGTTTTCCTTCTTTGGTTTCCAGACTCCATTTCTGTTGAGAATCCACTTTATGGCTTCCTTGTTTTCTGTATTCTGTACATCTTTCAATTAGTAAACACTTCAAAATGGCTATAGAATCATGGAATCGTAAAGGTTGTACGGGACCTTTAGAGATCATCTAGTCCAACCCCCCTACAGACGCTGGCTCACCTAGAGCATGTTACACAGGATTGTTCCATGCTATCTTTCAGAGCAATACAAAAAATACAGCACATTTTTCATACCAGATGCAGCTTCATTGACACAGACTGTATAGCACTTGTACAGAAATTATAATGTAAAATAAATCAAGTATAATTAAATAGGCTGTTATTATAGCTGTCCACACCAGAGGGTGCTAAGATTAAAGAGAATTGACCATAGAGTTAACATTTGGGGCACTAAGAACAGATTTATGGTAAGCAGTAGCTGGGAATTTCATGGCTAATAGAGTAATAAAGACACTGGTTGACTTCATGAATGCTGTTTCTGCTGTGTTTTTGTTTGTTTGTTTTGTTTTTCCCTGAAATTCCGGCTCTTCACAGAAAAACGAGTATAGCACCAAGAGCAGAAAAATGAGGCTTGGTTTCTTGCATCAATATCCAGAGACTGAACTTAGCACACACACTAATACAAACAAATCAGATCAAACAAATAAGCAAAGAATGTTCTCCTACACTCCATCTTCTTCTTTTTTTCCCCCCAGAAGTCTTTTAATCAGTCTCAAAATGCTTTTATCTTACACTCTTGAGTAAGAGAGGAAAATTCGGAAATACTTCTGCCAGCAAAACTCTTTTACTACAATGAAAATGAAGTATCTGACTGATAGCAGAGCTTCTATTGTGTTTCTGTGAAAACACATCTGGGCATTTAGAGCTATGTAATGACATTATTACATTAATCTTGTTACTTGAAAACAGACAAACTGCTCCAAAAATATCCTGCTACCAGAAACRTGTTTGGCTTCATCTGCTCAGAGATGACTGAACATGTCATTAAGTTCCACCTCCTAGTATCTAACTACACATTTCTAGACTATTAAGTTTGCTTATGGGGCAGRGCAAGGCAAAGACAAAAAGGAAAAGGAATAACGTGAAATACCAGCAACTCTAATATATATGCCAGAGGGCCTGGAAAGTTCACAAGTTTTGAAAGGGACTGAAAAGTCTCTGGCTAGTGATTCAAGCTGAATTCCGACCTGAAACAAGTAAAAACTTTTATCTTTTTACAAAATGTGAAGTGTATTTTGTAAGCAGTTCTCAATCTTCTCCATACAAATAAAACCCCTTTTAAATTCTCTTTTCCTTCACCCACCTCTCAGCAAGCCAGACTTCTCTTCCATTTAGCCCAGGAATAGTCTGAAGTTCTCTCAAACATGTTGGAAGCTGTCATCTTCATGATCAGCTCTCTGATCTGCGAAACCTGAAAAGAAATCAGATAAAGGTCAGAAGATGGAGAGCTCTGTAACTGCAGTCACAGAAATAGTTAGCTCATTTTCAGATGGAACTGGAGAAGTTCACCTGTGACAGCAGAGGTCTGGACAGAGGTCCATTCCAGATCCACATTCCTGTGTGAAATAACTAGATTTTTTGTTAAATTTAACAGCGAAAGCTTAAGATATAGAGGAAGGTGTCAAAGCACCTTCCCTCTAGTTGATGTGGGTCCTCCACCTCAGGACATAGCCACGTAAGTCCAGCAGTGCAGGCAAAGCTTTTGCAGCTGTCATCTATGCTGTGCTTGTTGGGAGGGTAAGAAACTTCACACTCCAGAGCTGTCACCTCTGAGACTTTTCACCAACACTAAGTTCAATGCAAAAAGTCAATCAAACAGGTGATAAAAGTAGTTAGTTTTATTTAAAAAACAACCAAAACAAAACACCTATTTTCAGGAATTAGAAATCCAGASTGGTTTTCTGTTTGTTAGCAGGGGAATTCCTGATTTACACCAGAATGAGCAGAAATTAGACACAGAGAGAGAACAGATGGTTCCAAATTATTAGGCTTGTCAGGTCTTTGGTGGTTCTGGGCTTTATCTCATTGGTAGATTTTAACACCTTTGAGTTTAATGTCCCACATTCAAGTCTTGCAACATGAGGGGAGAATGGTAATGGAGAAAAAGCCAAAAAGAAAAGCACTATAATGCTGGAGTACAGCATAAGAGTAACAAGTCCTCAAAAGAGATTTCTGTTTTGACTGGCATCATAACACAATATTCTGCCAGCAGTCAATAACATGTTCTTTTTTCCCTTCTTCATCCCTTTAAGTTGCCATTCTTCAGTGAAAGAAGTAAAAATGAGTAATAAAACTTGGTAAAAAATGAGTAATAAAACGCAATGAAATTTGTTTTGCATCTTGCTTTTTTTTTGCCCTCACTATGCAACTTCCTTACTCTTAAAATTTAGAGGAATAATTGTTTTTCTGTGCAAACAATGAAAAGCATATGCACAGGGCATTAATTCTCTAAGAAAAAAAAAAAAAAAGAGAAGAAAGACATTAAAGGAAATGCACCACATTCTTCCACCCTCTATGTTAACAAATCCAATTAAACTTTCCAAGGTAAACATATATCCCATCAATCATTCTAGGTTCTACCCACCCTATCCATATTTCAGCAGCATTTCTCTCTCACTTTTCAGGATTATGCACCATACTGCACACAGTAGGCATGTATTGTTCTTCATGCTCCTTTCTTGCACCTCTTAATCAGTCAGAACAAGACATATTCATTTCTTTCATGCGCCATATGCCACATCAAGCTAGCTGGTTAGCTGCCATAGCAGAGCTTCCCCATCCCTTCCCTTTTGTTTTTTTTTTGCTTTTCTTTTTTTTCATGGCTGACATGAAACATGGCTGTGAACATACAGAAGGAGAACTGTGAACATCCAGAAGACCACCAAGAGAAAAAAATGTGCTTGCATTTATAAAACATATATTAATCGCTAAATTCTGCTTTCTTACTGTGGTAGCCTTTAAAGCTTCTCAGTTGTAAAAAGTATGTGAAAAATGGACTTAAAACTTTAGAAAATTTCTGGTAATAGGTTAGATGCAGAAGTCCACAAGAGACCCTGTGTACTGATCCTGGGTATTCTTAAAGCTTGTCCTAGGCAATTCTCTTATTTCATCTTAAAATAAAGCCTTGGACTTTTGTTCCCAGGAAGTTTGTAGGGTCTTTCTCCTCAACAAGCAAACATGACTTGTGATAGCTTTGTCATTTTGTCCATTTTGTGCAGGACTGAAAGTGCTCTCAGGGCTGCCCTTGAGACATGGGCATACACCGTAAATCGTTTTCAAACAGGAGGTTTATTTTGGGAGCATTAGACAGACTACAGTCGTATCGTGTGCCAGTATAACAACAAGGCCATCAGTTTTCCCTTCAGATTCTCTCTTGATGTCACCAACGTACAGCTGTCTAATCTGGTGGAGGACTGTGTGACTGTTGGGCTGCCTGTACTGATATGACAGGCAGTGGCCTCAAGTGGCTCCAAAAGAATGACCAGGTTTTCACGGAGGCGGTAGCTATTCCAGTGCACCAATCTGTCCATATGGATTTAAACCTCCTCCAGTGTTCTCACGTCCCGAGCCACTCCAGTGCTGAGTGAATTCCCAGTTTGAAGGCACTCCTGCGAGTCTGTCTTCCTTCCCTATGATGTTTTTTGCTTCTCTGCGGAAATGCCTAAAGGGCTGACATTTCAGCCTACCCACCCTCACTGGACAACTGGAATGCCAGAGTGAAATGGCACCAAAGAAAAAACAAAAAAAACAAAAACAAAAAAAAAAAAAAAAACCACCACCACCAACAACAAAAAAAAACCCTCAGTGACTACTGTGGATACTAGCACTTCCAAAAATTTAAAGACGTATAGTTTAAAAATTCAGCAAAACTGAGAAACCTCATCGTACAAAGTTCCATTTTTTATATAGACCTGAAGGCTTTGAAGACCAACATTCATGGATATGCTGTCCAGAAACTCCTTCCTCACCAAACCTCTCAGTATTTTTCACTTCCTTACCTCTATGAGGAGCTTCCTTGCAAAGGGTAGAACTTCAGATTTTGAGGTGACAAAGGAAGAAAAAAGGGGGGAAAAAAAAAGGAAAACAGGCAAGCATTGATTCATTGACCAATAATCTCTCCTGGAAATATTTAGTATTTACTTTTGCTTATAACAAGATTAGCTACCACATACAAACATTGCTTTCTGTGAATAGCCTGGCTGGGAAGAGATGGAACCAAAGAGAAAGAGACTGTCTGTATGAACCACAACTCAAACTGGCCACGGGGCCAACGTTGGCTGCAGTGGGATCCATTTCCTGTATTTGTTGACTAAGGGATAGTTTCCTCATAAATCAGAACATGACTTTATGACCAAAGTTACAGCTGGGCAGCTTGCATGCCTGCTGACTTATCCCTGTTAACGTGAACCCAGCTGACTTGGGATTGCCTGGAGGCCTTCAGGGCACCAGCAGAACATCGACTGACTAGAGCACGGCCTTGTTGGAGGAAAAGGTCTGACCTGGGATAAACACATCTACAGGCTGACTCACAGCGTTATGTACAGTGTTTGAGGGCAACAAGTGCAAAATGGTGCTGAGCAACACTCAAGTATGTAGTTGGCAAGTAACTGAAACATGATTTTAGTTAGGAAATTACTGTATTTCTCTGCCATGCTTTCCGTAAAGGGTCACTTGACGCACTGTTTGGAATTTCTCTAGGAGTACCGTATCTTACATGTTGTTATTCTTAGGAACACAACAGGCAAAACTCACAGGGCCCACCACATTAAAACAACTATCACACGATTATCTGTGTATTTATCTGACAGTAGAAACCAGATGCACACACCGCACAATCCTGGCCATCATTGTAACTAGGTCACTTGTTTTCTCCTGCACTAGTGATGTCAGGGAATAAAATCATAGTTGAAGGGAGGAAAGCCCCCTCTGTTTCCCTGGAAGGGAACTGAGCACTGAAGCACTTAGTGTGGCAAGCCTGGCCTCTGAGGAACTCTCTCTTACCGTATTTGTTACRATGCCCACTCCTGGTGCCTGGAGAGACATTAGGTTTTATCCATCTTCAGAGCAGAGTGGCAAACGAAATGTTTTTTTGAGGATCTGAACCATTTATCACCCAGACCAATTTGTAGAACTTCCTTGTCCTTTCATTGCATCTTCCCCAACAGGCTCCAGAAACTACCACCCTTCCCATATCTCTATCATTCCTTTGTTCAGTCATCTTAAAACTGGTCTGCTACACTGTAAGTACCATTTTCAAGCTTTGATTGTAGCTGAAATCACTACCAGGTATGTACTTCATATGCTCCTAGGTAGAGAGAGGAAAAGGATCCTCTCAGGAGATTTACTGTGATTGTTTTGCCTGCTCCCTTCCACACTACTCACTACCCTCAACTTTCATCCTCACTCATGCAATATTTATAGCAGTCAGAATATGAGCAACACCTGCACGTCTTAGAGCTGCAGCCAGCTTCCTCTTACCACTAATGGACTTGGAATGAATGGGGCAATGTATTCCTCCCCCAATTATTTAATCAAATTGAAAGTGATTTCTGAAACAGCACCTGGACAAGCTGCAACTTGCTGAACGAACAACCACCCCCGATGAAAGAACCATTCTCTCCTTTCCTTCCGCTTTCTGCTGCTGTTGTTGCAAATTAGGTGCAGTTTGCAGGGTGTGCTTCCTGGTAAATCACGATGGCTGCTTCATAAGATTTTGTTTCTGTAAGTCACTTATCCCTGAACAGMAAATTATTCCAAATTTGCAGGTGTGAACTGAAAAGGATGGATAATGGACACCGTGCAAGTGGACAACAGATGTGGKGAACGGCCTTGAGGTGGTTCTGAAACTCAGCATTTGAGAAATGCCAATACACATTCCCTAGTGCTACAAGGGCCTCTCTTGCCATTGCTGTTTYGCTCCTCAGAAGCAGCTGGTTCATTTTCAGAAGTGAATCAAAGCAGTAAAATCTTGATCCAAAGGATCTCAGTATTAGAGAGTTTGTACACATTGTGCCTATTAGAAAAAACACACTTTTGATAAGATTTTTAGGTTGCTTAGGTCAATGTCACTAGGCTTCAGAGCCAGCTTTTTAAGGCATTCCAACACCAGGTGTTGCAGATGGATTTTCACAAAGCTGGAGCTTTTAAGGATCTAGGATTCATATGTGCAAAAGATAATAATTATAGATTTGAACCTAACTCTGTATTTTCCCTGCAGGAGTACATAAGGACAGGGAGTGGGATTGCAACAGTTCATCTGAAAGATGGCAGCCAGATGCACTCTGCATCCAACCCTTCCATTAGACAGATATTCAGATCAAACACGTAGTTTCAGAGCTGTCTTTGGCTGTTTTCTTTTCTATAGGCGAACTGATTTTTTTCAGAAAGATTTTCTGGAAAAGATTAATTTGA